AGCACAAATTGCAGTCACCATGTGGGAGTCCAACACCTTAATCACCACGCCACCTGCTGGCCCCCATTTGAATCTTTAGTTTCCAGTCAAGAAGCTGTGATGCTGCAAAATAATTATAGATTTCACGTCGTTACACCTCCTTTCTTCTCAATATTCTTGAGTTTTGACTTCCTGACATAATTAACAAGGTACAGCTGATTAGTTGCCTGCCTTATTTTAAATGATCCAATGTAAACTCTTGACAACTTGTAACCTCCCCTCTTCTGCCTCTTCTCTTTGTTATTTAAGCTAGCTTTATTGTGCCATTTGAAAAGCACATGTCTGAGAAACTAGGGTTTAGCTTATCTTGGGTGATTTTCCCTAAGCCCTGTCTCAAATAAATCATGTTTGTTTCATTTACTGTGCCTCAGCCTTCTTTTTAGGTTGACAGCACCAAAAAATTTGGTTGCGTTGTATTCATGTACTAGGGCTTTATGAGGTAGAATTTAAGTGTGACAAACTAACATTTCTGGTAGAAGGAAAAAACATTTTAAAGAGATTTTTGCTATAGGGCACATGTGCTCACCAGAGAGAGACAGAAAGTGAGAAATCACCCCCCGCAGGGGGGATGGCCAGGTCACAGTCTCTTCTCCATTTTCCTCTCAAGATTTTTGGGCCCACAGGCATTCATACCTGGCATGAGGTTTAAGCTGCCAGGTCTGGGACTCGAACCATGGTTGGCCATGTGGGAGTACAGACCTTAACCACCATGACATCTGCTGGCCTCCTGGTAGAAAAAATATTAAAGCAAGCAAAATATTCAAGATGCAGTATGGCGGGACCAGCAGTTAGCATAATGGCTATGTTGCTGGACTCCCATGTAGCCGACCACGGTTCGAGTCCCAGACCCGGTGGCTTAAACTCACGCTGGGTGCATGTGCATGCGTGCCCAAGATCCCGAGAGGAGAATGGAGGAGGAGGGATTGCGGTGTGGTCATCCCCCCGGGGGTTGATTTCTTGCTTTCTGTCTCTCTGTCTGTCTGGCGAGCGCACACGCCCTATAGCAAAAAACAAACCAAACCAAAACAAACAAAAAAAACCTCTCAAAAAAAAAAAAAAAAGATGCAGTATGGTTACATCTGGCTACTTACAGGGAGATTTCGGAGCAAAGAGATGACCCCCACTCCTGTACCCATTCCCAGAGATGGGAGTGATAATCAGAGAGAGCTTCTCAGAGGTGGTCTTCGTATGGACTTTGTGGAAGTTGAGGGGTCAGGTAACAGAAAGGGCAAAATTAATGCAACACCACACTGCAAACTGTAAAACATTTGATCCAATTGGATTTTATCCAATCCAATTTATATTGGTATTTTATGCAGTTCCAGTATAATAAATATTTTAGTTGGTGCAAAAGCAATTGCAGTTTCAGACTGTGACTATTAAAATCATTATAACTAGACTCAAAATATTTTGCCTTTTGGCCAGAACCACAACTTCCAGTAATTAACCAAAATGATGAACACAAAGGGAATGAAGAGAGGCACTCAATATATGTTCTCTAGAAACAATATATGTTCTTCTAGAAAACATGGAGTAGGAGACCAGCAGTTGGCGTATGGCTATGTCACTGGACTCCCATGTAGTCGACCATGGTTTGAGTCTTGGATCCACTGGCTTAAATTCACACCAGGCACGTGTGCGTGTGTGCCCAAGATCCCGGGAGGAGAATGGAGGAGAAGGGATTGCGGCATGGCCATCCTCCCTGGGGGGTGATTTCTCGCATTCTGTCTCTATGGCTGTCTTTTTGGCGAGTGCACATGCCGTACTGCAAAAATCTCTCAAAAAAACAAAACATGGAGTGGTTACTTTGGCAACATACATGTGAATCTACAAGAAAGGTGATATTGTAGACTTAAAGGGAATGGGTTACTGTTCAAAAAGGAATGTCCCACAAATGTTACCATGGCAAAACTGGAAGACTCTACAATGTTACCCAGCATTCTGTTGGCGAACAAGTTAAGGGCAAGATTCTTGCCAAGAGAATTAATGTGTGTATTGAGCATATTAAGCATTCTAAGAGCAGAGATTGCTTCCTAGAACGTTTAAAGGAAAATGACCAGAAGAAGAAGGAAGCCAAAGAGAAAGTTACCTGGGTTCAACTGAAGTGCCAGCCTCTCCACCCAGAGAAACATCCTTCGTGAGAACCAATGGAAAGGAGCCTGGCTACTGGAACCTATTCCCTATGAATTCATGGCATGACTAAACTATAGTCTATAAAAAAATTTATTATTTTTTAAATATGTTGTTGCCTTTGGGTGTGTGCATTCATGGAGAGAGAGAGAGATAGACACAGTGAGAGGGAAAAGTGAGACATCACCCCCCCTGAGGGGATAGCCACACTGCAATCCTCTCTCCTCCATTTTCCTCTCAGGGTCTTGGGCACACATGCATGTGTATCCAGTATGATTTTCAAGCCACTGGGTCTGGGACTCAAGCCGTGTTCAGCCACATGGGAGTCCAGTGACATAACCGTAGACCATCTCTTGGTCTCTCAAAATATCTTTATTAATTGAAATAGGAACCATTACAATCAACACATTTTTGCCAGTGAGAACTAAGTTTGTTTATTCCTATAGTGTAAAAATCCAGGTTTCAGGGTCAGCAGGTGGTGTGGTGGTTAAGGGTGCTGGACTCCCACATGACTGACTGTGGTTTGTGTCTTAGAGCTGGTGGCTTGCTTTCTCTCTCTCTCTCTTTTTCTCGCTTGTTCTCTTGGTCTGTCCCTCTCTGGTCAAATGAAAATAAGTAAATAAATAAATAAAGTTAAATAAAATAATTTAAAAAAATAAATCTATGCTTCAAGATTCAATGAAATCTTGGAAAGCATCTTCTATATCCTGTTGGTTGTGGAAGTGTTTTTTTTCCCAAAAAAGTTGTTGAGATGCTTGAAGAAGTGGTAGTTGGTTGGCAAGAGGTCAGGTAAATATGGTAGGTGAGGCAAAACTCTGTAGCCCAATTTATTCAACTTTTGAGGCATTGGTTGTGTGACATGCAGTCAGGCATTGTGAAGAATTGGGTCCTTTCTTTTGACCAATGCCAGCTACAGGCATTGCAGTTTTTGGTGCATCTCATCAATTTGCTGAACATACTTCTCAGATTCAATGGTTTTACCAGGATTCAGAAAAGTTAGGGGCTCAGACCCCAGCAAACAGTGACCATTACCTCTTTTTTGGTGCAAGTTTGGCTTTGGGAAGTGCTTTGGAGCTTATTTTTGGTCCAACCTCTGAGCTGGTCATTGCCTTTTGTATAAATCCATTTTTTAAAAGAGATTTTTGCTATAGAGCACGTGTACTCTCCAGAGAGCGAGACAGAGAGACATAAAATGAGAAATCCACACTATAATCCCTTTTCCTCCATTCTCCTCTCAGGATCTTGGGCGTGCATGCACACGCACCTGGCATGAGTTTAAGCCACTGGGTCCAGGACTTGAACTGCAACTGAATACATGGGAGTCCAGTGACATAGCCATTATGCCATCTGCTGGTCCCTAATCCACTTTTCACTGCACATCACAACCCAAACAAGAGATGGTTTGATGTTGCCTTGAATAAGAGATGACACTTCAAAACATTTTTAAAAAAATTTAGTCAGTTCATGAGGCATCATCCATTTATCAAACTTTTTCACCTTTCCTATTTGCTTCAAATGCCAAATGAACATAGAATGGTCAGCGTTGAGTTCTTCAGCAACTGCTTGTGTAGTTGTAAGAGGATTTTGATGATCTTCAGTTGGTGGTTATCAACTTCCGATGGCCAGCCACTATGCTCATCTTCAAGGCTCTTGTCTCTTTTGTAAAACTTCTTTAAGAGTTTTTTTTTTTTTTCCTATAGCGTGCATGTGCTTGCCAGAGAAAGACTGAAATCATCTCCCAGAAGGAATGAGCTTCTTCTGCATTCTTCTCTAGGGATTTTGGCACGCACACACACAAGCTGGCATGGGTTTCAAGCTACCGGGTTGAGAACTTGAACCATGGTAAACCAAGTAGGAGTCCAACATCTTAACCACTTTACTACCTTCTGACCCTTGCAAAACCTCTTGAACAACCACTGCACTGTAGTTCCTTAGCAGTTCCTGGGCCAATGTGTTTTTCATGTAGTGGGTCATTATTGCTGCTTTATGACCCATTTCGAATTTGAATGAGAAAATTGCTCGCATTTGCTTTTGTCTAACATTATTTTCATAGTCTAAAATATATATAAAATAAATGGCAGTTAATAAGTCATTGGCAAGAAAAACAATGAAATAAAGCAAGAAATGCACTTTAAAATAATGTATAACATAACCACTTTTATTTAAGAATGTACCCAAACAGCAAATTTCAACAATACAAAACCATAATTTTGCACCAACCTAATAAAATGCAGCTATTCTTTCTTTAAGAATTATTTATTTAATCCCATTTGTTATTATTTTTTAATTTGACCAGACAGAGAGAAAGAAAGGGAAAGCGAGAAAACAAGCTGCCAGGTCCAGGATTACAAACCTCTATTGGCCACGTGGGAACACAACGCCTTTATCCACTACGCCACCTGCCAGCCGGCAGCTGTTCTGTTCAACCTGTAATCAGACCCGTTCTTTGCTACATCCTCTAACTATGGCAGCACCTTCGTAAAGACTTCAGTGTGCAATCGGGTTGAGAATCCTAATTTGCTTCTGCTACAGATTTTTCCCAGTGAGTTGCCTTGGAGAATAAGCATTCTTGGAGAGGACAGTTAAAAGTGAAGTACTGTCCCCTCCCCAGGGTTCTGGGCAGTGTCGTCCAAAGCACAGAAGCCGAGTTGAGACTTCAGTGGAAATCCGTGTTACTGCAGCCCAGGAGGGAAGAGCCCGAAGCATTGCGGGTACTGTAGTCCAGGAAGAGGACTTTGGCTTCAGGATGCGGGATGTGGTGCGATAGCGGGGAGGAAGCCGCGGAGAGGGCTCTGGGATTGTAGTCCCGGCGCCCAGCGGAGTCTGCCTACACCGGCTCGCGTCCCGGGCGCCGGCGGTTCAGTTCCTGCGCCTTCCCCTTGCTCGTTGGTTGCCGCGTCAGGGGAACAAGCCTCTGGCTGCTCTTCCGCCGGGCGGGCCCGCCGGTGCCCGGGAACGGGTCGGTGGAGCTGCTGGGGCATTGTTTCGGTGAAACGAGAAGGGGCGAGACACCTGCACGCCTTGGGAAGGTGGGGGTGCGGTTTCGCCGCGCCTCCCAGGTCTCTGGGGGCGGTTGGAAGGCCCCAGGAGTGCCTGAGTGCCCTACGTCCACAGTGTTGGGGTCGCTGCCTCTCCTCGGATGGGGTGGGGTCAGTAGTTCGGAGAAGGTCGAGGGGGTGATTCCGCCTAGGGCGCGTCCCCGAAGGTAATGAGGGGGAAGGTTCCATTTCTGAGCTTTGCGAGCAGAATGCATTTGGGCTCCCCGCCCCCTTGCTTCTTGAGTCGTTGGGGGCGGGCTCGGGCTGTTTCTGGTGGGGACCTGGCTCTGGGCTGGGACAGTCTTCCGCTGGTGGGGAGGGTGGGCTGGGACCGCGTGTCCCTGGAGGGGTTCCTTTGGAGACCAGAGTGGAGCTCAGAGTGGCGCCGGCATTCTCTAGGCTGGGTTGCACTGGGAACGCCGGTGCTACTTCCTCACCTGGGCTGCCAGAGCTTCCGTGTTTATCGGGAAAGGGAAATGGCAACCACTGGGGCTTCCGCTGCCCTGGGGGCTGTGGGCTGACATCTAAATAACTGGTTTTAATCGTTTTGTTATTAATTTCAGTATTTGGCCAGAAGGCGTGTGCAATCGCCTGAGACAGGGATAGGAAATAAGCACTCCCCAATGGGGCTGGTCATGAACCAATCCTTTTCTCCCCCATTTATCTATTCTGCCAGGATTTGGGGCCTGTTTTTATTTTATTTATTTGTTTATTTTGCTATAGGGCACGTGCGCTTGCCAGAAAGAGACAGACAGAAAGTGAGAAATTACCACCCCCTGGGGGGGGCGGGGAATGGTCAGGTGGCAATCCCTTCTCCACTCTCCTCTTGGGATCTTGGGCACATGGTGCCTGGTGTGAGTTTAACAATCGGGTCTAGGGACTCGAACCGCAGTCAACTATATGGGAGTCCAGTGATGGAGCCATTATGCCATCTGCTGGTCCCTAGATATTTTCATTTTATTTTAGGATTTTATTTTTCAATGTATGGTGCAAAAAGGACCTAGTTTATATTCTCATTTTTACAATATTTTGTTTAAATTTTTAGAATGCAAGCACAATTTAGTATTAAAAATAAGTAGCGGGACCAGCAGTTAGCGTAATGGCTATGTCGCTGGACTCCCACGTAGTCGACCACGGTTTGCGTCCCGGACCTGGTGGCTTAAACTCACACAGGGCGCGTGTGTGTGCGTGCCCAAGATCCCGAGAGGAGAATGGAGGAGAAGGGATTGCGGCGTGGCCATCGCCTCTGGGGAATTTCTTGCTTTCTATCTCTGTCTCTCTTTGTCTGGTGAACGCACACGCCCTATAGCAAAAACTTCTCAAAAAAAAAGGGAATAAAAAGCAACATATTTAACTTGATCCCACATCTTTACTCTTGTGCATGAAAAATGTTACTAAACAGGGTGTTCGACTATATATTAGAGAATATAGCTAATTGCTTTATGAGGAAGTATGTACTGATACGGGCTTGAAGTTTTGGATGAAACATTCAGTATTTCGATGCTAGAAGTGTTTTTGAAATTGTCACTTTCTATACAAGGGGACTAGTGGGATTTTGAGCATCCGTGATATAAAGAATTATTTTTATAGTCTTGAAAACTGTCCTTAAGAAAGGGGGGGGACCAACAGGTGGTGTGGTTAAGGTGGTGGACATTCCCACATGAATGACCATGCTTTGAGTCTGGACTTGCTTTCTTACTTTCCCTCTCTTCTGTGTGTCTCTTACTGGTCAAATTTAAATAAATAACTAAAAAAAAAAAAAAAAAAAAAACCCTGTCCTTTATGCTAAAGGACAACACAGTATACATAACACCAAGAACTGAATGTAACAAATAGTGTTAAGGAAAAGGTAGTTTATTAAATAAAAGTGAAAATACATTCCTGAGAGATAGGAGCAGGCTCGAGTGGATAGAGAAATAGTGACTCAAAAAAGTCCCTGCCTTTGCAATGGAGGGATTTACTATTTTAACCTAGGTCCTATAGATCACTGGCTGGGCCCACTGAATGTTCTTTTATCATTGGCTCTACCAATTGTGGCTGGGCCCACTGATTTCTCATTGGCTATATTTAAATGTTGCTTAATCAGCTAGATACCCCCCACTAACCTCCTGCCCATGTTACCTTGGGCAGGAAATTTTCTGCCCCCCCCCCCTTTTTTCTGTCTAGCCACACAGAAAGATGCTCCAGCCATCTTACCTGCTTCCATTTGCTAGCCTTCTCCTGCCTCATGAATGTTACATTTTTTTTCCAAATTGCTGAAATTACCTCCATGGACAATTATAGGAATATAAATATTTAAAGTTAATTGTTTCTTCTATGAGAGCCAAAGAGAAAGCATCCTCTAGTGGGGCCATAATACCATTCTTTCTTTATTATTTTTCTCTTCTCCATTTATCCATCTCAATAGGATTCTGGGAACATATACATATACTCAGTGTGTGTGTGTGTGTGTATTTAAATATTTATCTTTAATTTTTTGATTTCTTCTTCAATTTTGACCAGGGAGAGACAGACAGGTTTGGGACTTGAATTGTGATCTGTCATATGGGAGTCCAGCGCCTCAACCACCATGCTACCTGCCAACCCAGTGTTTTTTTTTTTTTTTTTTTTAATAGTTTTTTTGCCTTAGGGCAAGTGAGCTTGCCTGAGAGAAAGTCAGAGACAGTGGGAGGCAAAGTGAAAAACCACCCCCAAGGGAGGATGGCTATGCTGCAATTCCTTCTCCTCCATTCTTCTCCTTGGATCTTGGGCACACACAGGCACCTGGTGTGCTTCAAGCCCCTGGGTCCAGGACTCAAACTGTAAGTAGCCATGTGGGAATCCAGCATGGTAATTGTTACAGCACGTGCTGCCTCTTCCCCCAATCCCCAGTGTTTTTTTTTTTTTTTTTTTCAAACTACCCCCCAACCTCCAGTGTGTTTTTCAAACTACTGAGGGTGGGATTCAATCCACCCTTGGTCATGTGAGACCAAGATCCCTTTATATGGCATTTAACTGCTATACTATGGGGATGCCTCCCATGATACATTTTTTTTTTTTAAAGGTTTTTGCCATAGGGCATGTGTGTTTGCTGGAGACAAAGGGGAAAGTGTGAAATTACCGCTTGGGAGATGGCCAAGCCACAATCCCTTCTCCTCCTGGGATTTTGGGCATGCATACACACATACCTGGCGTGCTTCAAACTGCCAGTTCCAGGACTTGAACCATGGTCAACAATGTGGGAGTCCAGTGCCTTAACCACTATGCCAAGATATATGACTTTAAAAGGTCTAAAGGCAGTGAGGAAGAGGACTATAAACTGGAATAAAGTAAAGGATGTCACTCAGGACCCCCAAGAGAACTCTTCACTATTGCTTGATATTAAGAGAATGCCTAATATGCCAATCTAGACTCACAGTTACCAGAGGGAAATGCAATTTTAAGGTCTTCATATCTGTGAGCACTTTCAATATCTGGCACATTGTGGAGGGCACTGCATATGGAAGCCATATTGAGCTACCCGCCATCTTGAGCTATCCACCATCTTGAAAACCACTAGGCTTCACTTCCTCACTGAGCAAACCATTTCTCAGAAATCATGTGACCAATTATTCTCTCTGAGGGGCGGTTGGGTTTCTAGGCAATGGGAGAGATCTACCCACACCAATGACTGGTTCATGCTGTTCTATCTCATTTGCATTTCGGGCAACCAATCAGTGCCCACCAGCCTGTATATAATTCGCCATTTTTTTCTCAATAAACGGAAGAAGACGACTTGATCAGCACCTCATATTGTCTCCACTCTGTGTGTGTGTGTGTGTGTGTGTGTGTGTGTGTGTGTTTGTCCCATCTCTCACTCCCTCCCCTAGGGAACCTGTTCAACTGTCTCCCCACCCCCTCTGTCGGATCATGTGGTGCCCGAACAGGGACCTGGTTACTAGGGATCCAGTGAAGAGCTCCTGAGGAAGGCTCCAGTGCAGAGCAAGCGAGAAAAGCTGGCGGGAAAGGCCGCAGAAGGGGACGGCACAGACTCGTCCTGAGAAAGGCTGGTGAAAAACATAGAAGGACGAAGAGAAGACGTCCTGGTAAGTATTTACTTACATTTTATTTTAAGTACGGGTAATAATGAGACAAAAGCTTAGTCAGCACAAACTATTTGTTCAGGGCTTAAAAGAAGCCCTTGCCACTATGGTCGATCTCACCAAGGATTCTAAAATTGAAAAAGAACAGGGAGAGGATCTTATTTCCCTAGATAGTGAGGAAGAAGTTAAAAGCCCTGAAGGCGAGACAAAACCCAAAAAATCCAAAAAACTAAAAAAGAAAAACAACCTTAAGGCTCTACAAGAGCCAAAGAAAAACGAGTCAAAATCTGGGTCAGTTTTTTGAACAATGTGCTGCTGTTTATCATATTTCTATATGGTCTCTGCTTGGGGTGGTTATGTGTCTATCATCAACCTTATTCCATTGCATGTGTTTGTGTTGTTACTGATGCAGAGATATAGCAAAAGAGTCTACATAGCATATAGCATTTTCTACATTGTGGGTTTAATATTATCCATGCAGATACCTTTTGTATCACAATTAGAAAAACTAAAAACCAATACAAAGAAAGAAAACTAGTTCAGGGATCACATATGACAGACTTTGAGACATTCCCTGTTACGGAAATTACAGATCCCCAAGGACAGGTTTGGCGCCGTCACAGCGGGTTTGATTTTAAAATGGTAAAAGAAATTAAGGCAGTGGTCACCCAATATGGATCTACTGCTCGGTATACCTTAGCTATAGTTGAAGCTATCACTGAGGGCTGGCTCACACTGTCTGATTGGCAAACATTAACCCGAGCTACACTTTCAGGAGGAGACTACAGGCTTTGGAAATCAGAATATGCAGAGGCTTGCAGGAAAACTGCCTGCCGCAATGCCCAAGCCAATAATGGCTGGACGGCTGGAATGGTAATAGGGGAAAGGAACTCTGCACGCACGCAATGAAAATCAAATACAGTATGACCTAGGGCTCTTTGCACAAATTCATACAGCAGCCATAAAGACCTGGAAAAAACTCCCTGCCAAAGGAGATTTGAGCACCTCCCTTACTAACATTAGACAAGGGCCTGATGAACCTTTTTCTGACTTTGTACATCAATTAATTATCACCTCAGAAAAAAATATTCGGTAATGCTGATGCAAGTACAGACTTCATAAAACAATTGGCATATGAAAATGCTAACGCTTCTTTTCAGGCAGCCATTAGACCGCATAGGAAAAAGACAGACCTGACAGGGTACATACGTATGTGTTCAGAGACTGGATCAGCATATCAACAGGGATTGGCCATGGCTGCTGCCCTTTAAGGGTACAATGTCTGCCAATTCCTTGACCACAATAATCGAGGTAATTGTTTTAAATGCGGGCGCCCAGGACACATGGCAAAACAGTGTAAAGCAAAAAATATTATGGAGACTCAGCTGCTGAGCACTTCTGGCATTCTACTACCAAAACAAAATTTGCCTCGGTTTTGTGGGAAGATCCTCTGGACAATACATGGAATGGTCTGGACCCTGTCCTCATTTGGGGCAGAGGGTCTGTCTGCATCTATTCTCAAAAAATGGA